CCTGGCCAAGTCAGACTTCACGAGGTATGGTCGTAACTGGCGCACAAGTTTGAGTTATGCAAAGGCCCTCCTGGCCACCGCTGACACCTGAGCATCAAGCGACAGCATTGAATCCAGGAGGACCCACAAAGCTACGGATCTGCGCCTTCAGGGGGAGTGTAACCCCATCGAGCACAGTTGCCAACCAATACCCCGGTCAGCCCCGCGACTGACCAGGAGGACCTCTGTCTTGTCTGGATTAAGCATCAACCTGTTAGCCCTCATCCAGTCCATCACAGCTGTCAGACACTGGTTCAAGGTCTGGGAGGCTTCCTTGGAATTCGGTGGAAATGAGTATTAGAGTTGGGTGTCATCTGCGTACAGATGGCACCCAACTCAAAAACTCCGGATAACCTCACCCAGTGGTTTCATGTAGATATTGAAAAGAATGGGGGATAGAATGGAACCTTGCGGGACCCCACAAGTCAAAGGCCATGAGTCCGAGCAGGTATCCCCCCCAGCTTCACCAACTGGGAGTCACCTTCCAGGAACGAGCGGAGCCACTGCAGTGCAATGCCCCCGAGTTGGGAGGCAACCACCTGCTCTAGAATCTTGCCCAAGAAAGGGAGGTTACAAATTGACCGGTAGTTATTTAGGACCGAGGAATCTAGGGATGCCTTTTTGAGTAATGGTCTCACAATTGCACTTTTTAGGCTAGATGGAATATGTCCCCGTTCCAATGAGGCATTTATAATCTTTGAGATCCACTCGGTCAACCCCCCACTGGCAAGCTTGATTAGCCAGGAAGGGTAAGGGTCCAGGGCACAGGTGGTCGATCTCACCACTCCAAGAATCCTGTCCACGTCATCAGGCTGATCAGGTTGAAATTAATCCATCAAAACCAGACAGACAGGTACCTCGATTACATCCGTGGACACTGCATCAAAATCGGTGTCTAATTCGGAATGCAGTTGAGCGATTTTATCTGCACAATGATGTGCGAACTCGCCACATCGAGTTGCCAGGTGGTCAAGGTTCTCGCCACCCTGGTGGGGGTGAAGGAGCTCCCTAACCACCCGAAACAATTCCGCAGGTGTATTAGATACAGACACAATACGGGCAGTCAAGAATATGGATTTGACATTTGCATGTAGTCCAAGAATGGTTTGCCCCTAGTTCTATATAATGGCCTTCTAAATGAGATTCATTATGCATCTGCATTTCTCTTGCTTAGGGTCTCTAATGACATGTTCCATAGAAAGTATTTCCTGAAGTACAATCACTACATTTTATTAATGTATTTGTTTTTCACTTACTGTAAGTTTCTCTATTTCTCTTACTGTATATTTCTCTATTTCTCTAAAGTGACAAATATGGGATTGTTAACACAAATTTTAAAAATAAAAATATCACTTACCACTAAGCTAGACAAAATTATGAACAGTTTGTCATAACTATATAACTAAATGTTATCTTCAGTGAATTGGCCATTTAAATTTAGTTTTCTGAAGCACGAAGTATAGAAATTTACACTAACAAGACTGCTATGTTAACTTCTGCCTTCTAATTTTCTTCATTAATGAAAAGATAATGGTGTTATTCTGTTGGTCTACAGGCTTTTAGATGAGTTCGTCACTTTGTTGTTGCTATGTGCCTTCAAAACATTTATGCCATCAAGTCATGGGGTTTTCTTGGAAAAAAATTACAGATATTTGTCTTTTGCTTTCCTCTGAGGCTGAAAGAGTGTGATTTGCCTATGGTAACCTATGCCCTTTTACACAGCTATATAATCCAGTTCAAAGCAGATAATCTGGATTTTATATGGTAGTGTAGAAGGGGCCCCAATGGATTTCCATGGCTGAGTGGTGATTTGAACCCTGTCTCCAGAGTTATAGTGTAATAGTCACAACACCATTTTACTGCTATTTTATCTTGAAAGTGGTAAAGATTTAATTACAAAGAAACATTAACAAGAATGGAAAAGCCAACTATAAGCAGGTTACACCCCTTGCTTTCCAGTCAATTGCCAACTCTGGATAACTCTTCCCTAACCGTTCTGACATAGATCTTCCCCTTTAAAATTAAATGACTACAGGTCAACAGACATACAAGATGCTAAACATCTTCTCTATTGTTTTTCTCAGCAAGGAAAATATACCAAATTCAGTAGAAAAGACAACAGTCCAAAGTTCCCAAATTTTCCCAATATCCACAATAATATTCTTCATTCCAACCTCTTTCAATAGGAAAAAGGTAAGAAAAGTGAATTGAAATAACACGCCACAGTACAAATCCTTTTAATCCTGACAACAGGAGATCCATTCGATCAATGTGATTTACTACTGTTGAGTCATCATTCAGCAATCAATTAAATAGGTCTACTTGGAGCTGACCAACAAAGATGCAAGCTAGTATTACTGTTCCATGAACTACTCATCGAAAGGTCTCATAAACAATGTCCCTAAACACATTAGGAGCACTGACCTATTCAAATGATAAGCCCTAAAGGTAAGCAACTGCTAAAACTAAGCATTATATAACCCGTTATGACTGTCAAAAAGATAATACTCTCCTGCAGCTCTCAGCAATTTATCATCACCACTCCCCTTTCCTTACTACAAAAAGCAATTGCTGTCAAAGGAGAGGAGGGAACAATTATTAAGTGCAGAATGGCAAATCAATACACCCACTAAAATACTATTTTTTTTTACAGAAAATTGCTCTCAAACAGATACTGACTAAAGACAGCTACTACGCAAATGAAAATAAAACCCAGTGCTACAATTTTATCATATAAAAGAAAAAAGGTGGCCCCAATCTAAAGATCCAGTGTGATAAAGTGGCTTGAATGTTGTACTAGAACATTGGGAGACCATAGTTCGAATTCTCATGGAAGCCCACTGAGGCCCCATCTAGGCCAGCCATTTAATGCAGATTCAAACCAGTACTGAAGAAAGTGGTTTTGTTATGCAAATGCTTACAAAGAAAATCTTGAAACCAAGTTTGAGGTTATGGTTATAGAAACCACTGAGCACTGATGCACACTGAGGAGTTAATGTGTGGGGTTAATGCAGAACCCACCCCAGTTATGATAAAAGATTTTGGAAGGGGTTAATGTGTGGGGTTAACACAGAACCCACACCAGTTGTAATAAAAGTTCTGAAAAGGGTTAATGTGTGGGGTTAATAAAGAACCTACATCAGTTATGATATAGGTTTTGAAAGGAGTTAATGAGAACCCACACCAGTTATAATAAAAGTTCTGAAAGTAGTTAATGCATGGGATTAATGAAGAAGCTACACCGGTTATGACAAAGGTTTTGAAAGGGGTTAATGCAGGGGGTTAATGCAGAATCCACTCGGTTGTGATAAAGATTTAGAAAGGGGTTAATGTGTGGGGTTAATGCAGAACCCATACTGGTCATAATAAGGGTTCTGAGAGGGGTTAATGCTTAGGGTTAATGTGTGGAGTTAATAAAAAAAACCTATACCAGGCATGATAAACGTTTAGAAAGGGATCGATGCATGGGATTAACACAGAACCCACAGTGGCCATAATAAAGGTTTAGAAAGGGGTTAATGCATGGGATTAGCAAAGAACCCACAAGTATCATGATAAAGGGTCTGATGGGGTAATGTATGGGGTTAATGCAGAACCCATATTGGTCATGACAAAGGTTTTGAAAAAGGTTAATATTGTGTATAACACAGAACCCACACCAGTTATAATAAAAGTTCTGAAAGTAGTTAACACATGGGATTAATTAAGAACCTACACCGGTTATGACAAACGATTTGAAAGAAGTTAATGTGTGAGACTACTGCAGAACCCACATCAGTTGTGATAAAGGTTTTGAAAGGGGTTAATATGTGGGGTTAAAACAGAACTCACACCAGTCATAATAAAGGTTCTGAAAGGGGTTAACCCAGAACCCACCTCGGTTGTGATAAAGATTTAGAAAGGGGTTAATGTGTGGGGTTAATGCAGAATCCATACTGGTCATAATAGAAGTTCTGAGAGGGGTTAATGCTTTGGGTTAATAAAGAGCCAAGAACCTATACCAGGAATGATAAAGGTTTAGAAAGGGGCTGGTGCATGGGATTAACAAAGAACCCACAGTGGCCATAATAAAGGTTTAGAAAGGGGTTTATTTGTCGTGTCAAATAACCCCCTTTCTAAACTTTTATTATGGCCACTGTGGGTTCTGTGTTAATCCCATGCACCAGCCCCTTTCTAAACCTTCATCATTCCTGGTATAGGTTCTTTATAGGTTTAGAAAGGGGTTAATGCGTGGGATTAGCAAAGAACCCACAAGGGTCATGATAAAGGTTCTGGCGGGAAGGGGGGCAGGTTAATAATGTGTGGGGTTAATGTAGAACTCATACTGGTCATGACAAAGATTTTGCAAAAGGTGAATGTGTGTGGATAAGGCAGAACCCACGCTGGCCACGATAATGGTTCCGAAAGGGGTTAATGTGTAGGGTTAATGCAGAACCCACATTGGTCTAATCATAAAGGGTCTGACAGGGGTGAATGCCGAAGCGTGGCTGGTGAAGATCAAGGTCACGTTACGGCTATCCTCGAAAGCCATCATCCCGGAGAAGGCTCAAGGAAGGCGCAGCTGGTGCCGTTCCCCTTTGGCTGCGGGCCACCGTTGGAAAGGGAAAGGGAAAGGAAGAGGGCGGGACGCGTGGCGAGGAGAGGAGAGGAAGCGGCCTCTCGCACGAGAGCAGGCCGCCGAGCCCTACGCCCACATCCCGCCCGGTTTGAGGCGCCCGCGGGCCCGCTACCCAGCTTCCCTCCCTCTTTCCCTGAAGAGCAGGTCGTGAGGGAGGCTCCCTTGCGGCACAAGTAACCCTTCCACCCCTCCCAGGCCCCGGGACTCCCACAGTCACAACCGCGGATGGTCCCCGCCCCTCTCCGCCTTTGTGAGGGCCGCGGAGGGAGCCACGCTTTCTATCCCCCTCTCCCTCCCTCCAAACAATGACTTGGAAGATGATGAAGGAGCGCCATGTCCTTACCGGGGGTCTCGCGCGGGAAGAGGCGCGAGCGAGGGAGCGGGTCCTCCTCCTCCTCCGCGCGCGCGCTCCGCTGTGAGCAGCGCCACAAAATGGCCGCCACGGCTGCTGCGGCGCCCCTAGCTCGAGCCCGCCCGCCCGCCTGCCTCGAGAGAGAAGAAGGAGGGTCCTCCAGGGGGCGTGGCTAAGGCTAGGGGGCGTGGCGTCAACGGGACGACGGTTGGCCTCAGAAGGGAACCAACTGTCAGTCACCTCACAGCCTCTTTCCTCTCTGAGGCAGAACACAGGGAGTTGGTGCTGCCTTTTGGACGGCCCTTCGACGCTGCTGGATTAAATTCCACATGATTCTCTTTGAACTGGGATATATGGCAGCAGGGCCGCAGCCAGAAAATAAATTCGGGAGGGGTTGAAATTTTGGGGGGTGGGTTTGAACCCCTATCCACCAGGAAGGTAATGGCACCCAGAGGCGGCCCTAGGTAATTTTCAACGGTAAGCAAACAGTATTTTGGCACCCCCCCCCCAAACCAATCACTGATATATATTTTCTGTTCGTCGTGGGAGTTCTGTGTGCCATATTTGGTTCAGTTCCATCACTGGTGGAGTTCAGAATGCTCTTTGTAGGTGAACTATACATCCCAGTATGTATGTATGTATGCTCACTGGAGGGAAGGATACTAGAGACAAAGTTGAAGTACTTTGGCCACATCATAAGGAGACAGCAAAGCCTAGAGAAGATGAAGGAGCGCCATGATCTTCTGGGGAGGCCCTGCTCTCGATCCCGCCTGCATCGCAAGCACAGCTGGCGGGGACAAGGGACAGGGCCTTCTCTGTGGTGGCCCCTCGGCTGTGGAACGCCCTTCCCATGGACATTAGATCTGCCCCTTCGTTAATCGTGTTTCGAAGAAAACTAAAAACCTGGCTGTTTGAACAGGCGTTCAGATAAATAGTGCAATTGAACGATGAATATAGGAACGGATTTATGGATGACGAATTGGATCACGATTTTAGTTACGAGATGCTAATGTGTTGTTATTGATGTGTCATTATTTGTATACTAGGCTGTTAATGGTTTTAAATATTGTATGTTGTACGATTGACTTTTTTGCTCTTGTTGTGAACCGCGTTGAGTCGCCTACGGGCTGAGAAACTGCGGTATACAAGCAAAGTAAATAAATAAATAAATAATTATGCTGGGGAAAGTGGAAGGCAAAAGGAAGAGGGGCTGACCAAGGGCAAGATGGATGGATGGCATCCTTGAAGTGACTGGACTGACCTTGAAGGAGCTGGGGGTGGTGACGGCTGACAGGGAGCTCTGGCGTGGACTGGTCCATGAGGTCATGAAGAGTCGGAGACAACTGAATGAATGAACAACAACAATACATCCCAGTAACTACAACTACATATGTCAAAGTCTATTTTCCCCCAAGAGCGCCTCAAGAGCGCCCCTGGGCAAAATCAACTATACTGCAAATGCTTACTTTGCGTAATGGGTTGAGCCCCCGGGGGTTGAAACCTGCCTCCGAGCTCACGCTGAAGCAAAGAGCACAGCAGGGGGCAGAGCAGCCTTCAATAGCCTGCAGCTCCGCCCTGTCAACCACCTCCACCAAGTCTGGCCTCCTTAATGAGAGCATTCAACACACACACCCCAACTTGGTTGCTTCACTACATCGGCTATTGCTGCAAGTAATGACAGTGTGAATAAATTGTCAATATTTGCTTGAGATAGTGCTTACAGTTCTGGAGGGACTCTTAATTTTTTGCATCTCATAGACTTAGCATGGGGATTTGGTTAACCAGTTAAAATTCATGAGTAAACCAGGTTTTTAAAAAAAATCTGAAACATTTCGGGGGGGGGGTTGAACCCCTAAAACCACCCCCTCGCTACAGGCCTGATCAGTAGCTATCCCTATGAGTAGGACTTCAAACTACAAGAAAGGAGATTCCATCTGAACATGAGGAAGAACTTCCTGACTGTGAGAGCTGTTCACAGTGGAACTCTCTGCCCCAGAATGTGGTGAAGGCTCTTTCTTTGGAGGCTTTAAACAGAGGCTGGATGGCTATCTGTCAGGGGTGCTTTGAATGCTATTTTCCTGCTTTTTGGTAGGGGGTTGGACTGGATGGCCCATGAGGTCTCTTCCAACTCATAATTCTACAGACAATGCCGGCTCTTCAGCTTAGAAATGGAGCGCACCGGGATTGTGGCGCAGCTGGCTGAGTGTCAGCTGCATTAAGATCACCCTGACCAAAAGGTCATGAGTTCGAAGCCAGCCCGGGTTGAAGTGGGTTTCCAACCAATTGTGTGTAGCCTGTTGTCGACCTTTGCAACCCGAAAGACAGTTGCATCTGTCAAGTAGGAAAATTAGGTACCACCTTAAAGTGTGGGGAGGCTAAATTAACTGATTTATGAGGCCATAAAGAAGACTCCAGCAAAGCATTCCAGCGGGGAAGCATGCAGGGAATGCGGAAGTGCTTCATCAGCGTCGCAGATGGACAATGAAAGCGACAGCTCCCCTGGCGGCCAGAAAAAGTTAAATAGCCTCTGTGTATGTCTGTATATGTTTGTATGTCAAAAATTGGCATTGAATGTTTGCCATATATGTGTACACTGTAATCCGCCCTGAGTCCCCTGCGGGGTGAGAAGGGCGGAATATAAAAGCTGTAAATAAATAAATATTAATAGATGAGCACCAACCCCCAGAGTTGGACATGACTGGACTTAATGTCAGGGGAAAACCTTTACCTTTGTGTTGTTCCTTTGTGTTGTACCTTTACCTTTATATGTGTTGTACCTTTACCTTTGTGTTGTACCTTTACCTTTATATGGCAATTAAAGTGGTTTCAAGCTTCAAATACAGACACACACACATATTTGGACACACATTTGGATGGAGTTACGCTTAAAAAAATGAACCTGCTCTAATTTACATACAAATCCAATTTAAGAACAGACCTACAGAACCTAACTTCCTCATAACTTGGGCACTGCCTGTATTGTATATATGGACATGATGGGATATTTTGGAGATGGGAGCCAAGTCTGAACATGAAATTCCATGTATGTGTCGTGCACATCTTATATACAGAGCCTGAAGGGGTAAAATATTTTAATCCTTGTGTGCCTGAAACAAAGTATATGTCCACTGAACCACCAGAAAGCAAAAGCACCACTATCTTAAGACACTTAAATAGAGAATTTCTGATTCTGAAATATTTTCAGTCTCTGGATAAAGGATGCTAAACTTGTACTATAACAGTGTTGTGTCACAAGCACAAATAGGCAGGATTATTTTTAATATATTTGTGTTGTTTTGATAATATTATGTTTATGTATGTTTTGGTGTTTGTTACTTGAGTCCCCTTGGGGAGATAGAGCTGTATATAAATAAAGTTTTATTATTAGTTTTATTATTATTTTCCGCCTTGATATTCTGGGTTATATGGCCCTGTGTAGTAAGTAGTTTTAAGGGGTGACTGGAAAGTGTAGGACAGGCATGGGTAAACTTAGGCCCTCCGGGTGTTTTGAACATCAACTCCCACCATTCCTAGCAGCCTCGAGCCCTTTCCTTTTTCCCTCAGGCAAACTTGGGCCCTCAGGGTGTTTTGGACTTCAACTCCCACCATTCCTAACAGCCCCAGGCGCCTTCCTTTTTCCCCTCAGGCAATCTTGGGCCCTCTGGATGTTTTGGACTTCAACTCCCACCATTCCTAGCAATCTTGGGGCCTTTCCTTTACCCCCTCAGGCAACCTTGGGCCCTCCGGGTGTTTTGGACTTCACCTCCCACCATTCCTAACAGCCTCAGGCCCTTTTCCCCCTCAGGCAAACTTGGGCCCTCTGGGTATTTTGAACTTCAACTCCCACCATTCCTAACATCCTCAGGCCCTTTCCTTTTTCCCCTCAGGCAAACTTGGGCCTTCTGGGTGTACTTCAACTCCTGTACTTCAACTCCTGTACTTCAACTCCTACCATTCCTAACAGCCTCAGGCCCTTCCTTTTCCCCTCAGCTTAAGTGGGGGGAAAGGAAGAGGCCTGAGGCTGTTAGGAATGGTGGGAGTTGAAGTCCAAAAAACCCAGAGGGCCAAATTTGGCCCCTGCCTGGTGTACTAAATATTGTGGTGATTTTTCAAAACAATCTTTGAAACTGCATTAAATTGTTTATGTAGATGTGGCCTTATTGGGTTTCCAGGATGGGTGAGGATTCGAAGCCTGGTCTCCCAATGTCCTAGCATAATATTCAAATCATTATACCACATTGGCTATTTAGATAAGAGATAACAGAAATGGAAAACACATACTTAGATGGCTTCTATTAGGCACAATGGCTGAGGCAGTAGTTTTGGGATGTCTTGAGAGGGCACCAAAATGTTAATGTATTAGTGTATGTTTACTCTTGTATAGACAGATTGAATATGTGGAATTTTCGGCCTCGGCTATTAGAAGGGCTAAGCGGGACATCCCTAGGGATACAAAGGTGCTTGTTTATAAAGCTGTTGTCCTCCCAACCCTGCGATATGCCTGCAAAATGTGGACTGTCTACAGACGTCACAATCAATTCTTGGAATTATTCCTTCAGAGTTGCCTCTGAAAATCCTGCAAATCTCTTGGGAAGACAGGCAGGCAAATGTCAGCATGCTGGAAGAAGCAAAGACCACCAGCACTGAAATGATGCTCCTACGCCATCAACTCTGCTGGACTGGCCATGTTGTCCAAATGCCTGATCATAGTCTCACAAAGCAGTTACTGTACTCCCAACTCAAGAATGGAAATCTATGTTGGTGGAAAAGAAATTTAAAGATGGACTTAAAGCTAACCTTAAAAACTGTGGCGTAGACACCGAGAACTGGGAAGCCCTGGCCGTTGAGCACTCTAACTAGAGGTCAGCTGTGACCAGCAGTGCTGTGGAATTCAAAGAGGCACAATGCAAGATGAAAGGGAGAAGCATGCTAAGAGGAAAACACATCAAACCAACCATGATTGAGACTGCCTTCCACCTGGACACTAATGTCCCCACTGTGTAAGAGCATGTGGGTCAAGAATGGGACTCCACAGTCACCTACGTATCCACCGCCAAGACACTGCATTTGGAAGGCAATCATACTTGGACAATGAGGGATCGCCTATAA